GCAGCCGAAAGTCCAATTGCAGGTCCATTAAGTGCAACAGCAAGGATTTTCTTATGTTGAGCAAAAGTTTGAACAAGATAAACTTGTCTTGCAATTGATTTATCTAACCAAGTTTCAAGTTTATTATCCAATTTGGAAATAGCAGCTGCATTTGCCCCGGCACTGAATGCTCTACCTGAAGATTGAATTAATGTGATGACGGTGTCTGGTTCATCCTTGGCACGGTTTAAGAATCCACAGATTTCGTCATATTGTTGATATGTGAGTGCGTTTAAAATCTTAGGATTGTTTAAGGTGATAATTGCCGCACGGCCCTTAACTTCGTATGTAATTGCGTCTGACATTTCTTGGTTGGATGAAGAGAAAGATCTTATGGAAAGAGAAGAAACACGAGTTGAAGTATTACATCAGATATATATAATAGAAAAAAAAACTTTAATGTGGGGGATTTGGCCAGGGTATTGATTTATATACCCGAAATATATTGTGGGGGAAACACTAAGAGAGGTACAAAAAAATGCATGTGGAAAAATGAAATTTTGTTCCGCTTGACACAAAATCAATATTCTATAAAATTGTTTTACCTACCAATGCCTTACAGAAATTATATGATCTTCAATTGCAAACAACAATTTTCTTAATTCATTTCTTGAGACATTTTCCTTTAGTAACAACAATTCTAATGAACTTTTCCCATTCATATATTTCAATAATTTATAAAATACTGCCGTTAATTCTGGTGATAATTTACATTCTTCTGAAATGATCTTATTAATCCATCTCCTTTCCAATGTGGTGGCTCTTCCTGGATCGAGTATAATAGTATCATCATCTTCTATCAAGGTTACATTTGGACCAATTGTTGTCTTTTTAAGATGTTCTTTTATTTTCTCAATTCCCTGATCTTGCAGCTGGGACCCGATTCCTTGATCTGAAACTATTTTTGAAGAATTATCAGTGGGTTTAGAAGAATTATCAATCGGCTTAGAAGTATTATCAGCCGAAGTAACAGTTATACTTTTCTTCTTCCTTTTTAATAAATTTTCATTCTCCAAATCTTCCTCCACTTTAATTTTGATCCTTTTAGATATTTTCAACCATATGAACGTCTGTAATTGAGTCACATATCCAAATCTAATCAACCAGCCCAATGCCTCTAAATAGCTTACTCTATGATCTTTGGATGGGATCACGGCGGCGAATTGTTGTGGTTTTCTTGATTGGGGTGATAATAATTTAAGAAAATGCGGTAAGGAAGGTAATGTTGGGAATTTCAGTTTAAAAGATTGGATATCATCAAATAATTTCACTGAAATTGGAGCCATTGGAGATACGATATATACTGATCTAGTAGATAATGGTTGTATAACTCTTGCTCTTCTCCAATATATTAAATGGAATGCGAATGATTTGATCTGTAAAATGGACAAATGTTTGGATTGGAGAGTTAATTTGATTAATGATTGTCTTGGGTCACATAAGCGAATAAATTTAGCTAATGTACTATCTTTATCGGTTTTTATATCTCTAATTATTGATTCTGGTTCATCTAGCAATAGTAATGCAAAATAAATAATCACATCTTCTGGATTTTCATCATCATTAGAATTATTGTTATTATTAAACATCGAGAATGATTGACCATATCTTGAAGTTTCTCCAACATTAATCAAACCGGTAGTACTCAATAAATCAACATTTGAGGATAAATGAGATCCCGGAATATAAGGAACCAGTGCATCTGGTAAAGAATGAAATTCAGTTTTGATTGGAATTTGAAAAGATCTTAATTTATCATTTATGGATAAATTAGCAATTTTTGAAGTACTTATTGAATTATAACAATCACGAATTAAATTACATAATGAGGAATTTTCCAATAGGGCAGTGTGTAATTCTTTATCACCAGCTTCAAATTGATCCTTTAGATTTAGGATTAATTTCACTTCATTACTGATATACTCATGTTTCAGTTGTTCATATCGCAAGACAAGTGATAATCGAGATATCACATAATGAAACATTTCATCAACACGATAGGTACTTTCTATATGTAGTGGATTCATCACAAATACCAAATGAAACATATTAAGATTTAATTTGGCTTTTCCATTAAGATTATCATACAGATCAATTTTAGTTGAATCCTGAAATACTTCTTGTAAACTGTGGTCATTCCCATCTTCTTCCTCACGAATATCTTCGCTATCGTGATAACGATGCTTTGGTTGTTTCTTTTCATTCCTCCAAAGTCCATTATCATATCTATGTATAGGCAATCCCAAGAATATTTTATCCTCAATTGTAATTTCGAATCTTGTATTACACATTCTTTTTGGTGGTGCTAACATTTCACAAAGATATGCCGGATCAATTCCGAATATTTCATTTTTGTTGGCAGAATTGGCGGTAGTATTAGTAGGAGTGGCTGTTGTTGTTGTGCCTGTATTTGTTGTAATCGATGGCGATTGACTAATAGTGGGGCTTTTTGATTGTTTATCATTCACTGGTGATGGCGAATGTGACCTAGCAGCTTGTGCTGCACCAGTTGTAGGACTCGCCGATCTTGCAACTGTCTTTAATCTATGAAAATATTTCCTTCTATTATCTTGTTCATCTAAGAAATGTTTCAAATCTAATTTGGTTCCTAAATAATGATCTAAATGATGAGAATCCCAAGCTTGAAAACTTAAATCACCAAATTCGAATAAATCACGTTCATCAAATAAATCTTGGGAATCTTCACTTCTCTTTGGTTTATATAATTCATCTTCATCATCTTCATCGTCTATATCTACTTGTTGATTAAGACCTTTGGTGACTTCTCCTTCATCATAATTATAAGTATCTATACTATTAAAATCTTTAAATTTGGGGACATTTGATCGTATTGAATTCTTGCCATTGATGTCTTCTGGATATTTATAGATTAATTGAGGACCACTATGAGTTGATATGATGAGAAGGATTCCTATGAGTCCAGGATTGGGTAGATTGAAGCTCATATTGTTGGTATTTACATTAGATGAGGCAAAATGGTCAACTTACAACCAACTTTCTCATAGAGGAAAAAAAAATGACACAAGCAGAAAAACAAAGTGCTGCCAAATCTTTTTGCAACACTCCTAGCCCCATATGGTAGCTTCTAAGCAGTAAATAGAAAGGCCATAGGGACTTAAGTAGGTGGAAACTTACAACAGAGGATGGTACTGAGTATACGATAAGATTCTACGGAGAATGGTTTATAAATAATATTTATTATCATTGACTAAACACTCAGAAACATCTAAAGTTTATGTTTAATTTCCTTTTGAGATAATTGTGCAAATCTTGTTTGAGGAACACCTTGAAGCCATTTATTTAATCCCATAATAACTTCTTGAGAATTAGCATGATTAATATATTGATCTCTACATAATTTCAATAATTTCTTATTTTGATAAATTGAATCTTCATGTAAATTTTCAAATGCAGTAGTGACGTCATCATAAACTTGTTGATTAAATTGAGCAGTATTAGTACCAAATTTCCCATTGTAATGTTTATTAATGAATCCAGCATTTAAACAATCTTCACCCGAGATTGGTTTAGCTAACAAAAGAGCTTCTGAAGCTTTGGACCAACCTAATCTCATAAATAAACTTGCTGAAGATGCACCTTCTGCGACTAATCCTAAATTTGCAAATGGAGCTAAAAGGAAGAATTTTTCAACATTATGAACATAAACTAAATCACATAATAATAATAATGCAGAAGATAACCCAATGACTGGTCCATTTACAGCAGCAACCAAGATCTTCTTATGATCATTGAATACATTGGTTAACCAAGTATTACGAGCAACAAATCTATTTAACCAATATTCATGACTGAAAACTTCTTCCGTGTTAACTTCTTGCATCTTTCTATCAGCAAAATTTGCACCAGCAGAAAAGAATCTTCCAGTGGCTTGAATTATAGTGGCAACCGTATCTTCTTCTTCATTTGCTCTTTCCATTAATTTACCTAATTTAAGATATTGTTCACCATTAAGAGCATTTAATTTTTCAGGAATATTTAAAGTAATGATAGCTACTCTCCCCTTAACTTCATATAAAACGTCGTCGTTTGCTTGTTGTCCTGCCATGTTTACTGAATGCTTTCTAGTGATTAGAGTCTAATATTAAGAAGGAAGTCTGTTGGTTAATCAATGGTATATTTATATGAAGTTGAAAAAAAAATTTAGTGAGGGGCGTGATTGCAACATTTGTCCCTCGGTAATAAATTTTTTTTCCGCTTAATTTTGGTGGTTGATTTTTCAAACAGAATATGAGATTTAATAAATTTACCTTGTGAAAAAGTTGAAACCAACATAAAGAAATCCTTCTTGACAGACAGTAGCAACTTCGGAGTTTTATATTTCAATATAGTATAGTCTGGGAAGCTAGAAGAGAATCAGTCGCTATGAATATCTATGGGTGTAGTTTGGGTGTTTGAGTATCCCCAATATCCCCCACACTTTTCAGATAACTCCGTTAAATTACACAAAATTACCCCAATGGAGAAAATCATCATAACAATATAAACTTCCGGAGTTAGATTTGGAAAGCAAAAGATTCTCCGTGGAAATTTCATAGCACGATGGATTTTTGATTTCTAAGAGTATGAAGGATATTCTTTGTATTTCCTTATCTCTGGCAATGGGGTTCATTGTCAGAAGTGTTGCGCGGAGAAAGCGCAATTTTGAATCCGAATAGNAATGGGGGTTCATTGTCAGAAGTGTTGCGCGGAGAAAGCGCAATTTTGAATCCGAATAGTCGCGTCTGGTTTACTTTTCCACCTCAAGTGGTTTTCAATGCTTATACGATAGCATGATTGTGCAAGAAGCTGATCCTAGAAAAATACTTCATATGCCGGTGGTATAGGTTCGCAAACCTCCAATCACACCTGTCAGAGATCTCCCCAGAGTTATAATGCAATTCCAAGTTCAACAGAGAGTGTCATACGTATCTCACCATTCTTGCCGTATTCACGCTCCTTTTGATTCCTTTTACCATTAATTAATTAATAATAAATTACTATACACTCAAAAGTATTTAAATATAACCAATTGGAAGCTGGCATTACACTAGTGCTATTTCTTCAAATTTGTTGATAACCATTCTAAACCTTCATATAACCCATCTCCAGTAGTAGCACAAGTTGCTTGAATAAACCAAGGTCTTTGTCTAATTGAATGTAAACCCAATTTTTCAGTTATTTCACCTGCATTCATTGCATTTGGTAAATCTTGTTTATTAGCAAATACCAATAATAATGCATCTCTTAATTCATCTTCATTTAACATTTGTTGTAATTCTTCTCTTGCTTCACTAATTCTATCTCTATCATTTGAATCAACTACAAATATAATTCCTTGAGTATTTTGGAAATAATAACGCCATAATGGTCTAATTTTATCTTGCCCACCAACATCCCAAACTGTAAATGCAATATTTTTATATTCAACCGTTTCAACATTGAAACCAATAGTTGGAATTGTAGTAACAATTTCCCCTAATTTTAATTTATATAATATTGTGGTTTTACCAGCTGCATCTAATCCAACCATTAAGATTCTCATTTCTTGACGACCAAAAAGTCCTGATAATAATTTTGAAATTGATGATCCCATGGCGCCTAATTATGTGTGTTCTCTCTGTTTTTTGTTATTTCTGGGGGGTTATTGTTAATGTGACTTTCAAATAAATAAATACAAAAATCTAAAAGGTATTTGCGATTATCCTTATATGATTATTATTAGTTAATTAATAATAAATTGTCTGTCTGTCGTGTCTGTTGTGAAAGGGAGAGAAAGACAAGTTGTTTTTATTAAATTGATTTAAATTGTAAGTTGTAAATCGTCTCTTTTTTTTATTGGGGGTAATTAGATTAATTGTATGTTTATATCCCTATACATTAACTATTGATGATTGGATGTTTTCATAGAGTGAGGTCATACTGTTTAAGTAGTACAACATATAATTAACCAATTCTATAGATCGAATTTCCTCCCCCTTCCATCCAACTTCAATAAAAGTGAAATAGAGTTGACTTATGTTTTGTCAATTGATATTCTATTTACTTATACTTTGGCATCTACATATATATAATGTTCCATCTGTCGTATAATAAATTGAATGATAAAGAGTCAGGGCCAAAAGCAAGCCGCACAGTGGTTCTTTTTTTTGGTCATTTGTACACGACTTACTTGTCGTTTTCTTTCTGGTTGTAAAAAAAACAAACAATTCATCAAACTGGTAAGGAAGATACAGCCTACGAGATAGATTCCCATATTTAAAGTAACTTAAAACAAGAGAAAATGTCTATCAGAGTCATTCTACCCAATGCTCCTATCAGTTCATTTAAAACTTTACTGAAGAAAGTAAATTTAACATTCACATCTGTTGATGATAATACAACTCCAATTCCAGATTCAATCAAAACCAACTTTGGTGTTCCTATATTCATACTAGAAGGTCATAATTATGTATTAATCAAACATTTGGCAGGTTTATGGAACTATCCATCTTCATATCAATTAATCGCAAGATTGATTAAGAAAGTTAAACTTGTTCATGACGATTTCCAAAAGACAAATGAAGATATCAATAAACAATTATTTGAATCTAATGTTATTGATAATTCTGATTTAAAGTTTGAATTATTTTATATATCATTGGAGAAAATATATTATGTTATTGAAAATAAACAAGTATTCTTTAATGGAAATGTTCCACCAAGGAATATTTTAAAGAAAAAAGTGATACCAGTACTTTCTTCAAAGCATGAAGCTACTCCAGACGTAGAAATGGCAGACGAAAATGATAATGAAGACGACGATGAGGACGAAGATGAAGATGATGTTGAAGATGAAGAAGAGGATGAAGTTGACGATGACGATGAAGAAGACGATGAAAGTATCAAAGTACCCAAAAATCGTCATAAACGTAAGAAAACAAACTTGAATGAAACCAAATCATCTTCAGATGATATAATCACCGTCAATCAAGTATTCCCTCAATATGGACTTATAGATTCAACTATTCAATTAAATCATGCATCATTTTCCACGGTGAATTCCTTAACTAAATTGAATTATTATAAAAATTTACCATCTTCATCCCATAAATTCCTTCCTAATACAAAATTAACATTTGCTGAACGAGAATTGATTCTTGGTAATAATAATTATTTTGAAATGTTGATTGATGAAGATAGAAAATTACAAACTGATGACAAAAAGAGATTCCGTAAACCAATTGGAAAATCAAAGAAACATAATATTCATATTGATCCAAATACAATCGATTTAGGTGAATCAGTTATTCCAGGTCAAGGTTATGTACCAGAATTTAGTGTCAATCATATTTGTAAAGTTCCAAATTATTATATAACATCTAATCATCAAAGTGTCTCAGCTGGTGGTGCATCTCAAGCTTCATTTTTCAATATGAAACGATTAAATGCAACTTCTAATTCTTCATTTTTATTTAATGAAAATATTAAAATGTCAAAAAATATTCAACAATTAGTATTTAGTAATGATAGTGATAATTATCATCATTCAAAATATTATTATACAAAAACTTATCGTGGTCCTGGTTCTGGTAATTATAAGGATGCTGCTTTAATGAATAAAATTAATCGAATTCCTGTAACTACTGATCCAATACGGAAAGTTCATAAGAATAAAATCCAACCAGTTTCAAGAGTTAATCGAAGCTTAAAAGGGTTATTATATGATAAATTTAATAAAGATTTAGTTGAGAATGTATTGGCAAAACAAAGAAAATTCACTGAAGATTATTCAAATTTAGAAATGTTACATAATAATTTACAGTTCAATCTTTTATTGAATTCTTATCGAGAAATTGCTCAAGAAACTTGGGATAATTATTATAAATTTAAATTAATCGATTTTGAACAATTGAAAGCATTGCAACGAGAACAAGAAGAAATCGAAGCCAGAAAACAAGCAATTGCCGCCCAAAATGAATATGTTGAACAAGAAAGACAACGTCAAGAAAAGATTAGAACTTTATTGGAACAAGAACGAAGTGAATTTGAGAATTTACAACGTGAACAAATTCAAAAACAAAAACAAATTGAAGAAAAAAATAGACAACGTCAATTAGAAGCTTCATTCAGTGATCCATTTATTGCTAATTCTGATGACGAAGATGAAGAAGAAAAGGAGAAATTAAATTATGAAAAGATTCAACAGGAATTTGAAGAAAAGCAAATTGAATTACGTGACAAATTCGAACAACAAAAACAAGAACTAATGACTCCAACCCCACCTCCAACTCCAATAGAAACTCCTCAATTGGATATTGTTAATCGGTTTTCTTCTCCTGCCATGTATCCTGAAATTGTCAGGAATCTTCCGTTGGAATTACGTGGTACCGAACAAGTTAATAAAGATGATATACCTCCAATAAAGAAACCAATTAGATATGTTGCAACATATCCTGAAGGTGGACGTAATCCTGAATATTTGACAAAAATAGAAATTATCAAATTACCAAATGCAAATTGTGTTGGTTGGGACAATTTAAGAAAATATAAGGACCAAATGTAATAATATTGTATAATTATTTAATTCGTATAAATATATATAAACAAACGCTATATGCTATCGCTTTTCTCATCATCATTAAATATATGAAAATCTAATCCCAGCTTAGATTTAACATTAACCAAATTATGTAGATTTCTACCAACATATCTTGAATTTATATCATCATGTTTAAACGTATCAAAATTCAATCGTTTTGGTTCATCTTGTTTAAAAGCATCAAAATTCAATCGTTTAGGTTGAATCTTCATTTGTGAAGCCGTCATTTTCTTTATCGTCCTTTTCCCCGTCGTATGATTAATATACTCAATATGTGTCGACCTATCTATCCCATCCTCTTCCCGTGATACAACACCACCTGATCGCCTCGATATAGGCGGTGTCAAAAATGGATTCTCAAGTCTTGAACGCATTCCAACCCCTTCATCTGCATCATCATCTTCTTCTTCCTCCTCTTCGTCAGAATAGATATTTCTCGATTTCCCATGCCAAAATTCCACATCATCATCAGTGATTAATTGCCGGCTGGGCGTTGATGGAGGTGCTTGAACGGAAGGAACAATGGCAATATCTGACCAATCTGAACTCTCATTCAATCTCTCCAATACGGATTTTATCTTCTTTCTTCTGGTACTAGCGAGATGTGTGCCTGATGGCTTCGAGATTCTTGATTTTGTTTGATATACATTCGGGGTGAATTCTGGGGAGGGAAGGAATTCTTCAGGATAATGTGTAGTGGTGGAAGATGGCGATGATGTGTTGTTGCCTATATCTGGTTCCTTGGACTTGTGATGTCTGCTCCTTGGGGGTGTTAGTGTCATTTCTGGTTTGTCTGATATGTGATTGCGTCTCATATTGTGATGCTTGATTTTGGAAGTAGTGGTAATCGTTAATGATATTATAGAAAGATAAGATTGTGATTAATTACAGAACAAAGAGAAGTGATGATTTTTGAAGTAAATTATGAGCGTAACTAATTAGTTATCCTATTTTGGCATTCTAATTAAAACCTGTAAAAGTTTTTTTATTTTTGTCGCATTTTGCTGGTTAAGTTTAACTTATTGCCAGCCATTTTTTATATGCATGTATGCTGTTTTAAATCCTCACATCCATAAATATCCAAGTATGAGGAAACGTAATAGAATGTGAGTCTGCCTGGTACAATGCTAATTAGTAATCAGTAAATGGAATATGGGATTAAGCTATGTATAGAGGCAAATCCTCGGTGACAATTAATGCAAGCATTGAAAAATGAGAATAGAGGATGTCTGTACTAACTGATATAGAACACCAACAAAATGCATTTAGGCACACGCTAGACTTGACCGACGGTAATACCCACTAGCACCCTTAGATAAGCCGCTCAAACTGTCCATGTTCTTGTTTGTTGTCATGATGACCGTTATCAATGCGGGCTGTAGGGTGAACTCACCAATGATGTGTCTTTCTGATGCATGTTGGAAAATTCTTTCTTCTTGGTTAAACTTATTAGATAAGTAGTTCCATTGAATCTTGTTAGAAAATTGACAATTGCTTGATTTCTAGCCCCAAATGACATCATTGAATTCCCTAGTAAACTCTCCTCGCCTCTCCCCAGACTGTCTATATCTTCGTCATCATTCAACCACACCAAAGGCTGGAACCCATTCTCCTTTCTAAATTCCAACCTAAATTATGTCGAAACCAACACAAACCATTCACTTGTCAGGTCCTCTCCCTTAAAATCAGATAGGTATCACACAAACTAGCCAGTGGTCAAGTAGCTAATTCAGTATGAGGATTACACCAGATCCATGAAATTCAGTAAAACTCTCTCCAAGTTGAACTAACAGTGCGTCTTCTTCTTTAACTCCACATGCAAGTCTCTACAAAGAAACCACTGAAATAAACATGAATCACCACCATTCAAACTCTTCAACCACCAACATTCCAATTCTTCTACCACCTCCAATCCAATTCTTTCACCACCACCTCAAAATAAAAATTCCAATCTCCATAAACGTTCCAATGTCCACTACCAGCATTGACATTCTCCCACCACCACCATCATTGATATGGTTCTACCACCACCACCACCACTACCACTACTACTACCACCACTACCACCACTACCACCACCACTACCACCGCTACTACTACCACCACCACCACTAGTAGTACTTCTACCACCACTAGTACTACTGCTACTACTAGTTCTACTCCTACTCCTACTCCTACTCCTACTCCTACTCCTCCTCCTACTACTACTACTACTACTCCTCCTACTACTATTACTAGTACTACTACTACTCCTACTACTACTACTACTCCTACTATTACTACTACCATCAAATCTGATCCATCAACATTCACATCTCTACCACATCCATTCCAACTCTTCCATCACTTCCATTCAAATTCCACCAACAACACCATCAAACCCAACTTTCATCACCACCATCAAATGAAACCGCCACCACCCCTATCAAAATCCAAAATTCAATCACCATCAACATTCCTTCAAACTCTTCCACCACCACCATCAAAATCCAAATTCCAAACAGTATTCAATTCAAATCTCCACCAGTATCATCAAAAAAAATGAAATTCTCCACCACCAAATTGAAGTGTCGATCAGAAATCCACAACACCACCATTGAAATTATCCATTATCAAAATATTGAAATACTAATTTTAGTCTTGATCATCTTCATCTAGATTAAGCCAAAACCTTCATCCCCGGAAATCAGATTAAAAACCCATCACACGAAACTAACCGTTGGTCAGGTCCAATTCAGTATGAAAAGATTCCGCACCCGATTCCATTGAAATCCAGTAGAACGCTCTCCGAAATGTATCTTCACCAATTCTTGATTTGCAAGATTGTTTTATGATTTGAAAGAAGGATGGTGGAAACCATGATTTTAAACGTAATGATTAATGGAATAGGGTGGAATAGGAAAATTGAATTTGGATAAGACAATGGACATTTGTGATTTTAATGGTAATTTCTTTCTGTGGTTTAATTGGCACAAATAAGTTTCCTTTTCCTTCTAACAACTTCACACCAAGCGTATTTCTTTGAACATTTGATGATACAACAGCCTTTGGTTGATAGATGATATTAAGGAAATTGTTTATTGAATAAATTATTGACGTGGTAGAATATTTCTTTGTGAGCGGTAAAAGAAGAAACAAATAGTTAAATGAAGTTGATTCGCAATCTTGGCTGCGAAATTTTCCCAGTTATTGTGAAACAAACACAAAAAAAATCTTGATATTAGAACAGAAACGACAAATAAGGTGAGATATGTGACTAACATAATTTACTAGTATAATCGATATTATAAAACCTTGTTCACTTCTTGTATTAATTACTTTCCTTGACTATATAAGACTATAAAGTAGTTCAATTCTAGGTACGTTGTCCACTTTGTTTTGCTTTTCATTTCAGTGTTCAGGTGGGTGTTACCCGACTTTGTTGTCACGTGCTGTTTCTTTGTTCATAAAGTATTGGCTTCACTTCTTTATTTCAACACTACCAACCTGTCATGTAATGTATAGACAGAGTTATTTGAATATATACATAGTAATACAAATATAAAAATACATAGTTTGCCAAAGTACTAGGGGAGTTTGATTAGAACAACATCACATAAATGTTCAAACTAGATAGTGAAATCAGCAATAATAGGTCTATGATCACTGAACCTGTAGATATCATCCATAGCGTTCTGCAACACTTTATATTGATTAGTGACAATATTTCCTCTGGTTGCAAATATAAAATCAATTGTTGTTCCTCGTTTCTTTGGTGAAAACCCAGAAGCGGTAGATAATTGCTTATTGTAGGATCTCGAAGCAACCTCAGCAGCACTGTCTAATGCTCCTGCAAGTAGAAGATAAGCAGGGTCTGTCATTTCCGAGTTAAGATCCCCACCAACTACAGTTGGATAATTATTTCCGAATTCCATTGTATATCTCAAAATTAATCCTGCGCCATAGTTTCTTGAAGCACTAGATTTGTGATCAAAATGAGTATTGATTACATTAATACCAACTCCAGTCTTCTTATGGGTAAAAGTGCAAAGGGTGATAACTCTTTTATGTTCTGTGTTTGGAAAGTAAGTTGGTTCATCCGGGGTATAACTAATCCATCTTTGGGTTCCATTAACCAAGTCCCAGATTTCGGTGTTGTATAAAACGGGAGAAAACTCACCTCCAAAAGCGCCATCATTACGTCCTGTGCCAAAATGTGCCCAAGGACGAGAATACACGTTCCCATTTAATCCATATTTGATATCATTAAGCTGATTGACCAATACCTCTTGAAGGGTGACAATGGTAGGAGTTTCTGCATCCGCGCAACGGGATTGTATTGAGGCTATACAAGCATCTCTACGCTGGCCCCAGGGCTTTTCGTCGGTGACTACCTTTGGAGCATCATACCTAATATTATGGTTGTAAAGTCTGAATTGAAAGGGATTCTTTTCATCTCTCTTGGAGTGCGAGGCACCATGTGAATGGTAGAGGTAGGCTGCATCCAGGCAAGAAAAGATCCAAAATAAAGCTAAATAAATAGTTGAAAATTTGTACATTTTGTTTTGTTAGCTGCTGAGAGATCAGGAAGACGGCTAAAATGCATCCTTTATATAAACCATAATTATTTGACTTGCCCCGCCTCTGTCATGCGTTTGTTGTTGATTGCAAAATAAGTCGGATGAGTCTGGGATGACTCTTCTTCTCCGATTATTTTTTATGTGGTAATAAATTATTTTACAAACATCCATGTCACTGTCAATTTCGGCGTTGTTCTCATAGTTGGGCCAGATTACAAAACTGCTGGACTCAAAATTATATAAGAGCAGACTATTATTTCAGAAGAGGTCATCCAGAGTCAACACCCGCGCTTCCTTGTAAAGAATCAAGCAAATAATTATTCGCTCCAAGCATAGCATCTGCTCTTTTTAAAATTTACAGGATCGCTTAGAACCTAGGGGGAAGCAAGGGTGATCTACATGTAGTATCTGCTCAAAACCCGAACCTTTCCCCTATGGGGAGGCTTGTTCCATCTGTTCAAACCCCACTACTTCCGTAATGTTCCATTAAGTTCTATGCATTATTGCTTATACCTATTTTATGCGTTGTCACTTATATTTGTTTTATGTGTTGTTTCTTAGAACTATTTTAGGTCATGTGATTTAATTGAGAATTTCAAGAATATATTTACGAGAACTGTTTGAGAGTTATTTTTTATTTATTTTTTATATTACTTTCTTTTAGTTAACGAGTTTTTATTTTATTATAATTTATTATATTATTGTTTTTGTGTGACAACTCAAATAACTATAATAATCTTATTGATCATTATTGCAGAATAGCTCAAGAAGTTATCAAAGAAGATCGATAATACAACAAGTACTAAAAGTTAACAATCAAAATAAAGGGGACACCAGATCCTTAGTATTATTAACTGAAAGTCATACCAAATTAATACCGGTAAATACAACATATGCAAATTCACTTATATTCGAACAATAAACATTGAAAAGTTCGTAGATTTGTTTACCTTTTCGTGAAAAAGAAAAAAGTTAATGATTTAGTAACTATGTAAGTCACTACTTAATAAATAATAAAATGTATATTAAAANTACAGTGTCGACGAGGGATCGTCGACGAGAGAGAAAGAATTTTCTCTCTCTAGAGTTACCCGGAACCTATCCAGAATTCCGGTAACACAGAGACTGCATATACCACTAACGTGCTACATGCATTTCAGATCACTCCCCTAAAAGTCTACTATGAGGTATTAGTGGACTTTTCCAAATGATGAGCAGCAACCTAAGTATATGCATCACCTATCCAGCAACTGACCAAGGTCTTTGTAGCGCTTAGATTTGGGAGGACCAGCATCATCTCTAAGCAGATTGTAGTCGTTGTCAATTGATAACCTCCTCTTATTTGAGCTGTTCTCTGGCACACCAATAAATGGTTTGAGTTTCAAGGAATCATCTTGATTGAAAGTGAACTTCAGCAATTTAAGTTGAGCAACGACATCTTTGAATAACAACCCTCTTCCATTAAATAGAGCATCCCTTAAAACCCTAAATTGTTCAAAGCCTAAAGCTTTGGTGAAAAGATCTGCAATGTTATTCTGAGTTTGAATGTATGAAAGATTCAAAACTCGCCTGTCTAAAATATATTCTCGAAGCCATTTCATGGTAATATCCACCAGTCTCCTTGAACAGGAAATCCTTCTGTTATAGCACTTAGATATTGCAGGCTGATTATCTTCGAGCACAGTAAGTTTGGTAGTTTCGAGATTGAGATCAACAAGAACATCCTTTACCTTTAGCATGTTTTCCACACATAAACCTAAAGCAACAACTTCACACGATTGAGAACTAGTGGTGATAACTTTCTGTCTCTTGGTTCCCCAAGATATAAGACATCCGTTAAGATAAATAGCAAAACCACTAACCGACTTACGAGATTTACCAGGTGCAAAAGAAGCATCAGCAAAACCATAAAGTACGAATTTGTCTGTAATGTGATCAGTCAAGCCTTTTTGATATGACAAACCAAAACCCTTGTTACTATTGAGATATCCGATGCAATAAATCAAATTGTCAAAATCATTAATGGTTGGGGTAGCGCATTTAGCGGCAAGCGAATGTACAGCGAAACTTAAATCAGGTCTAGTGTTCATGGCCAACCACAGGAGAAGACCAACACCACTAAGATAAAGCTTCTTATCAGATTCATCTAATAAATCAGATTCATCGATAATAGGCTCTTCATAGAATTCATCCTTGTCCGGTCCCAGACCACCTATTTTGAATTGCTTCTTGGTAGACAGTTTAGGAACCTTCTTTCGCATATTCCCTATATTGAAACGTGCTAGGATATCATCTGTATATTTGTTCTGCGTAAGTTGATAACCATCAGCAGTCTTAGTAAATTCAATGCCAAGATATTCTTTGACAGGACCAACGTCAGTAAGTTCGAAGTAGGACGCTAAGGAGTCTTTGAAATCAATGATAATATCATCGTTTGAACCGACAATAAGTAAGTCATCCACGCATAAAGCAAAATAGATAACATCATCGTTAAACTTAGCATAATATAAATCTTCGTGGCAGTCAGTTTGTAAGAGACCCATCTATTTGAAAGTCGAAGGAATATGCACAAACCATTCATATCCATACTGTTTAAGACCATAAACAGATTTTATTCAGCTTCCATACCTGATTAGATTTTCGGGGTGCTCTCTTTGGAGGTTGAACGTCATAAATACGTCTTCAGGTAAATGTGATTAGGTATGCCAGTTGACTTCCACTCGATGAATATTATAGCTAAGGTGTGTGGCAGTGGCGATCAAGATTCTCACTGTGGTCAAGCAGTGTTGGGTGACAACCCTGAGTAGGGTCAAACTCTATAGCAGCGATTTGACTAAAATCCTGTACACAGCATCTTGATCTAGATAGATCACCCTTGATGGTGCTCCCCTTGAAGGGATGAACCCAAATTGCTTTGAGAACACGAGCAGCCTTCAGTATTTCCACTAACTCAAATATGTCCATCTTCCGGAATTTGTCAAGTTCCGTGTTGATAGATTTGAACCAGTTCTTATCAATATAATTGATAATTGATATAACCCCATGTAAGTGAATTGATTGTCGTGATCAATCAATGTTAAACTGTCAATCGATTTCTTTGGCGGATGAAGTCTACCAAAATGAGGTAAGCATGTTGATGAGGAACCGAACAGGATTCTTAATGAATCTGTTTGAATGCTTTGATCTATGCTCATCCAAAGGAGGTACAGCAGGTTCACCTTGCTTTGCCATTTCAGGCTCAGCAGAATCACATTGCGCTAAAGCAGCATAAGTGATAGTGAGATCAGCATCGGTGTTAGTGGCAACAGCTTCTTCGACAATCATGCGCTTAGCTATCGAATACTCTGGCTGATGACTAGATTCAGGGTTTAGGTTTAAGCCACACTCTAAACGAAGTCTTTCAACTTCTTTGAAAATCATTTCAGATCTTCTATTTCTTAGTCTCTCAGCTTCTTCGAATAGCCTCTTAGATCGCTTCATCTTCTCTGAATCTGGTACTGACTTCACTAAAAGCTCCCGATCCAGAAGAGCAGTTCCATTGCCAAAAACTTCGGGGTCAAGAGAGTTGCCCGCCCTTGGAGCTCGTGTCCTCCGTGTCTGCTCTGTTGGGCTAGATTCCCCCCCCTTGGCCTCTGACGAATGGGATGATTCCGGAGGAGTCCCGGTTGTTAAGGTCGAAGTGCCAACAGAAAGACTCTGGTGTCGATCCGTCAGCAAAAGAGCCCCACGTGCTTCGCTCCTGGAAATTCCTTCATCATCATGGTTGTGAGTAGTACCGTCATCAAACGATCCGCTTGCTTTGATGCTTGCAAGATCCAGCAAATCTTCATTGGTACCTTGAATAAGGTCAAAAATAGGAGCAGTAGAATCGTAATGACCCAGACTGACAACTATTTCTGTACTATCCCGTGGAAGAACGGGAGTAGTAATTCCGGTCCCAGGCGCATGGGATGGAATATGTTCCTGAGCTTCTTGTGCACCGACAATAGCAACAGGGATGAGCGCAGTTCTGTTGAAAACAGTCGCAGCAACATCGATGTGCGCAGTGCTGTTGGAAACAGCCGCAGCAGCATCATTCTGTGCAGTCAACGAAGACGCAGCATGCCGAGGCAGCGCAGGATTCGAAGATGCAACAGTATCACCTCGCTCAGCCAACGAAAAACGCAGCTGTAGCGGAGTCACTTTGCATAATCAATGAAGACATAGCAGAAGAGACAGTGAAATCACCTCGTATAGGCAACGAAGATGCAGATTGCCGAGGCACTGCATGATTCGAAGCTGTAACGGAATCACCTTGCGTAGTCAATGAAGACGCAGCAGGAGTGACAGTGAGATAAGAATCTGTCGTAGACAATTCTCCCCTGACAGGATCAGGTACCCCTGATTCTCCCCTTGAAGTTTGACCGGTAGCAGACTCCAGTCTAATCTTTTTAAGATTTGGATACTTCAAATAAAATTGGTGGAGAACTTCAGGATACTTCAAAGCCAAAGCCTTGATTTTATCATCTGAACTATCAGTTCCATAAATGGAAGGGTCAACCTCAACTAGTGAATAATTTTGTTCTCGCATGTGAAAGTCATTTGGAATTTGATCTAGATCAACCAAAAACTTCACGATGCATACCCAATGAAGTTAATTTTTCAATATTATCTTGACTTTCAGAAAGTAGTAATGGATCAGCCCCTTGGTAGTATTCAGCAATGTTAACCATTCTACCTTTAAACCGTATATTTGCCAATGGCTTGATAACATAAGTACCATCACCATACTTAACCATATTCAATTGAGCATTAGATGCACATATACATCCAACGAAAAATTCAGATTGTACCAGCGGCACAAGTTTGTTCAACTGCACTTTATTACTAGTAGCTTCTTGATTTGATTTGAATATGAACGATATCCAACGAAAAAATCCAGGCAGTACCAGAGGCACAGTTTTGATCGATTTCACCTTTATAACAAGTTATTTCTTCGAAATTCTGAATCAAGACTAATGCATCAACACCAAAAGGCATGATGATTGAATCTGACACGACGAACCACAAAAATCTCATATAGTGAAGCTTCGTCAAAAACCTTTATTCTTATCCGAAGGAGCATCCGTTGCATTCATGGACAGCACAGTGTAAGATAAATGGAAAACGATGACAAAACTTCCAAGTATTTCCCGGGCAAGTTAGGTACTACCTTCCTTGTATTCTAAGAATGATACATTATGGGATTCAGCTAACCCATTCATTGCTGAGCAATGTGCTGGAATTGTATCCTTAGTTATTCCTAGATTCATCAAAAGCAATGCACTTGGTAATTCAGATGCATTATCAGCGCAAAAATAAGTTATGTGTTCGCCTGGGAACTTGTGGTTCCATACTAATAGCTTTCCAACTAAAAATTCAGTAATAGACTTGCTATCTTTGAGAATGATATCCGTGTAACCAGATTGATGATCAATTAAAGTTGTAATATACATCTTTCTTCCAGATAATTGAAATGAACCAATTGTATCAGAACTAACTCTGTCAAAACGACAAACTGAATAAGACGTTGAGTAGCGAGTTTATGTGGCAATTAGCTGACTATTAACCACTGAACAAACTTTGGACATTCTTTGATTAATCTGGTTGACTCGGAATCTATTGGGATCTTCAACTTATATTTCCTCACATTAGCCTTCATCTTAGCAGGTGACAAATGATTGCAATTAAGATGATGATAATACCATAGTAAACTATGATAATCTTCAGGGATTAACTGATTCTTCAAAGCTTGCTGATAATTGAAATCTTCTTCCACTTTTTCACATTCTCATTGGAAGTCGTTGAATTGCCTTGCTGATCCACAATAGAAACGCCAATGGTTGAATTACCTTCCTTAATGGGAATGATTGTTCCTATGTTACTGATTGATCTGGAGATTGAATATTGAATGCCCACAAGAAACCATCAAATAATTTTCTGATTTCACTTTTGAGAAGTTATCGCATATCGGTCCGATTCATAATTAACTTGTTTCACATATTGATCCAACATTGTACTACTTTCCTGTGGTTAAATAAATCAATGTAAAAGTTTACTGGAAAATATGTCTTGGCCTATCCTATAATGGTCTTCAATAGAAATCATAATTCAACAGGATTTAACAGGATCCAACAGGGGTAATGTAAAGGGCCAAAGTATAATATCGTAACCGTTGACACGATTGAGTATTCCAATTTCTTTCGAATTAACTGCATAATTGCTGGTAATCTAAATATATTAAGATCACTTTCTTCAAAATTATCCAAAACATTCCTTAATACAAGACACTGACGAAGTACAACCACTGCAATAAACCATATATGATTTCTTGAGTTTAGTTTCAGTTCCTTGAATTGTAGGATTTTCAGTACATAGACCAATTTAATTGGTTAATTGGATTTTCTTTCAAATCAGTATGTTTCACCTTTTCATCGGTGTGATTGTCAATACAAGTGATAAACCTTGCATTCTTTGTATTATCAGAATTCTTCATGTCGCCAGACCCGGTGCTGTCTTTAGCCAAGTTGCATTCCATACGAATCAAAGTATGAAACATTCCCAAAATGCAATCAACTTGGACGACTAATTTCAAGTAGAAATTGTTGATGACGTTGGTACTTTTAAGTATCATCTAAGAACTCCAATAAATAAATCCTTCATTCGTTAAGTACCTTCTTTATTCTTAATGCTAAAGTATGAATGTCTAGATGACTATTATGGGTGATTTGAATGAGGAATTGATTTCGCAACCATTTCTAAAAGTAAAGCTTTCAATTGAATCAGATTGATGTAAATGGAAACCAATAATATCAATTTTCAATGAATCAAATGCTTCTGAGTTCCCAAAAATACCTTTCGATATATGGAAATTGTTTCATCGCATCTTCAACATGTTTTATGATCTGAGTAGCTTTAATAATAGTAGAATTTGGCAGCTTTAAATGATTGTCCAACATGAAATTCAGTAAGTTTCAATTATTAACTAGTACAGAGAATACTGCAAAAGTCTTTTTATCCACTATCAAAATGTAAACTGGATCAATCTAAGCTGGATGTATAATTGGTT